TTTTTTTTTTTTTTTTTTTAAAGTAGGCTTCATGCACAGCCCAGAGCCCAAAGCGGGGTTTAAAGTCACAGCCTTGAGGGGCGCCTGGGTGGCGCAGTCGGTTAAGCGTCCGACTTCAGCCAGGTCACGATCTCGCGGTCCGTGAGTTCGAGCCCCGCGTCGGGCTCTGGGCTGATGGCTCAGAGTCTGGAGCCTGTTTCCGATTCTGTGTTTCCCTCTCTCTCTGCCCCTCCCCCGTTCATGCTCTGTCTCTCTCTGTCCCAAAAATAAATAAACGTTGAAAAAAAAAAAATTAACAAAAAAAAATAAATAAAGTCACAGCCTTGAGATCCAGACCTGATCTGAGATCCAGAGTGCCCCTAAACTAAATTTTGATTTCTGACAGTTATATATGGCTTTAATACAGAGAGACTGTGGTCTGTAAAGCTTACTAAAATAAAAAACCAGTTTCCTCTCCATCCTTCCCACATTCTCTTCAGTTTCTCTTCCTTGGACAGGATTACTTTCAGCTGTTTTGGTTATTTCTTTTAATATTAACCTCCATCTCTCAGATCTCTAATGTAAATGCTCATAGAGTAATTTTTAAATTTTGATTTTCAGTTTTAGACATTAGCCATTGACTTTCTACCTTGGAAAATCAAGATTTAACTCTTTCTTCTACCTTGTGTCTTTCTTTCTGACCTCACCACATTTGTGTGCCCTTCCCTACCTCCCATCTTTTTAGTATAGGTACATTATGACTTACATGAGAGCAGTAATTGCATACATTAAAAAAAATATTTCTTTTCATATGTTATTGTGGGATTTCCATGTTCAATTTGCTAATCTCTTTTTTTTAAGTCTTTTAATTTATTTTTGAGAGAGAGAGAGAGAGAGAGCGCGCAAGTGGGAGAGGGGCAGAGAGAGAGAATCCCAGGCAGGCTCTGCACTGTCAGTACAGAGTCCGATATGGGGCTCAAGCTCACAAACCATGAGATCATGACCTGAACCAAAGCCAAGTGAGCCACCAGGTGCCCCCATTGTATACATTTTTGAGACATCACTGATGTACAATGAGAACTTTTCTTCCCCAGCTTTTGTTTTTCCCTGGTGTTAATAATTGTCCTTCTTGTTTTTTAATTCCTTTTTTAAATTCCTTACTTTAAATACAATGCTGTATTCCCAAACTCTGTCCCAACTCTTTATTTCTTCTTTCACTACTTTAACACATCAGTATGCTGTTGGTTCCTTCTGGGAGAAAGCTCTTCCCCTGCCTTCTGGCCTGTTTTAGTCTGGACTGGTTACTTACTGTCCTAGTGCACAAATATCTGGGATCTTCTTCCATTACTAAGAATTTTCTTTTTTTTAAAAAAAAATTTTTTTTTTTCAACGTTTATTTATTTTTGGGACAGAGAGAGACAGAGCATGAACAGGGGAGGGGCAGAGAGAGAGGGAGACACAGAATCGGAAACAGGCTCCAGGCTCCGAGCCGTCAGCCCAGAGCCTAAGAATTTTCTTTGCTTCTCTTGAGTTGGATCTCTTGTTCCCTTGATCCCATGGCTGCTGCTTAATTATTCCCTCTCTCATTTGGGTTAAGCTCTTACTCTAGTAGCTTTCCTGTAAAAGGGTACCTGGAAGGTAAATTTTTGTAAGCTTCCATGTGTGAAATATCTTGTCTATCTTCATACTTGGCTGCCTGGGGACAGAATTCTAGATTGAAAGTAGTTTTGCCTTAGAATTTCATGGACATTACCCACGGTGCTCTGGTTCAGAATGCTGTTGTGAAGTCTGAAACCATTTTGGTAATAACTCATTTTTTTTATAAATGCCCTGTTTGTCCCCCTCTCCTTCTCTTTGTATAGAATCTTGTCTTTCTTCCTGATGTTATTAAATTTCGTGATTTACTGTGGTGTAGGTCAATTTTCATTCATTTTTCTGAGTGCTTAGTGGGCTCCTTCAGCCTGAAGACTTAGGTGCTTTAATTTTGGGAAAATTTCTTGACTTTTTCTTTGATTGTTTCATCTCTTCCTTTCCTTATTTTTTGCTTCCTGAATTCTTATTCAATTATGGGTTCTCTTAGACTCTGGAAGTCTTTTTCTTTCTGGGAGAGTCCCTCAACTTTTTCTTCCTGAGATTTTGTTTGTTTATTGTGCGTTTTTTATATCTGCTATTTGTGTGTATGTGTAAAAAAAATATTTTTGTTATGGAAAATTTCAAATTAAAAAAGTGGAGAGTAGTGAGTTGAATTCCTGTATACTTATTATCCAGCTTCATCGTTACCAACGCAGGGCCTTTTTTTTTTTTTT